ATCAGTCTTCATCTGGATAGGGTTGTGAGAAGATCTAGCCTATCCTGTACCTGGCTATACTGTATGCCAGTTGGTAGGGAGATCCTCTGTTGTGGTATCTGCCTATTGGTTTAGGCAGCAAAGTGGTGCCACTATCTTGAGTGGCGAATTGGGTGCTTGCTAGCTTGATGGTCCAATGGGTTCCTTTTCTGGGCAAGTGGCCTGGTGTCACGTGACCAACACCTGACAACTTCCGAATAGGGCAAGTGGCCAGTGTCACGTGACTGGGTGGCTGAATCATGGGCGCTTGGTGGTCATGTGGTAGACACAGTCATGTCCGTGATGTATGTGGCGGCATTGTGCTGTTTGTCCAAATATCCACGTTGCAAGACCAATATGAAGGTTGGCGTCACTCAAATGAGGACTTTAATGGTGCAAAAAGAAAGCTGCCACTTAATACTGTGACACAAGGTGTCTTGGCATCTCCATAGTGACTTGATCGGAGAACGTCCTGATCAGTTTGACCTCGTATTGCTTGACGCCTTCTTCCTTGCCCGCAAAACAAACACTAATGATGCACGTCCGGTTGAGTGTTGGGTGCCAATCGTGCATGCCTGGAATGGGTGGTGGATAGAGAAGAGTGACCCATTGGCTGAAGACACGATGAGGTGAGTCTTCCGAGTAGAGGTGCCAGGCAACCTTCTGGTTATCTCAAGTGAAGACGAAGGCGTGAAAGGTGGCGAAGTCACCCGTGCCCATGTGATGGACATAGAGACGATGGCCATCGCATTTCATGAGAAATGTTAGTGGTGTGGTGATGAAGACATCATAGGGTGATGCCACGTCTGGAGCGATGAGCGATACTTGTTCAGCCACTGAGTTGCTCGAAGACTTGGCCATTCGAGCATACCTTGTCTGCTCAATGATGATGTTGGCTGGTGTGGGTTGCAATCCATTTTTGGGTGAGTCCACGTAGTTGTATGTGGCACCATCATGGTGGGGGTAGCCAGGTTGTTCATCATTGGCATTCCTTGCCTGTTCATCATCTTCACCCCAAGCTCTCCCCATCGTCCAAGATCCTCTCATCATCCAACGACCTGTCTCATCTTCATCATCTCTCCAACGTGCACTCCTCCATGAGTCGGCCAATGCTTCATCACTAAGGTTGGTTGGAGGTGGTAGTTCATCTCCATCATTGTCTAGGAGTAGTCCTGGCTCTGATGTGCTGCGAGTGACGGTGGTGGTGACACAAATGTTGAGCGACATTGGTGGAGGTGGTAGAGTGAAGCAGTTCTCTTTATCTCAAGGGTAGATTTCCTCGTAGAGTTCCCACTCAAGTAGGAGGAGGCGATGGTCCAGTAGAGGGAAAGGAGGACCGCTACTTATACCTCTGAGCAGTCATTCCTCTTCTTCATACCAGTCTGTGATGTGAATATTTGCCATTCCCATATGTTCTTCTGCTGGTATTGTCATTATCCTTGATACGGTACTGTGTATGACACTGAATGCATCCAGAGTGAATGAAAGTGCTGCCGGTAAGATATCAAAGTGTAGCAGATGATCTAGAGCGTACGACGGTGGGAGGATTCCCACTGGAAGCCCGGCGTAAATGGCTGTTAGGATAGTCTGGTGTCGATCTGGCTCTAGCTGGGGCAGGTGAAGTTCCTCCATTAGATACATCGGGTAATTCATTCTCATGAACATTCCCCATGTTTCATCTAGGTCGATATCGACGTCGTCCTCTAGTGTTACCTTTGGCCTGTCCATTTGGAATGGAAATGGGTAAGAAATTCTGATTAGCCCGTTGGGGCGAGGGGTTAGATATGGCTGTTGTCGAGTTGACCTGAAGTCATCCAGGAGGTGGACTTCATGGATGTCATCTGCTCTCTGGATGAGATGGTCCATCATGGTTTGGATGGGTCGTGTTGAATTCAACGTTGGTATGGTCAAAGTCAGCAAGATCCTCAATGGCAAATCCAGCTCCTCTGATAGCGAGATAGACTCCAAGTTGTTGAAAGACCTGTAGCGATGGTCATGAGAGGAATGTGATTCGACATCTTCGAGAACTTCGATGATATGGGTGAGAGTGGTGATAGCGGATTCGAGATAGTTGGGGTTTTGCACAGGCATTGGGACTGAGGATTCAGGCCAAGTTGTGCTCCCTTTTATACTCGTTCAGCAGCTCACTTGCATTACCCATTTCCGTCTCCTTTACCCACAACCTTTCACTGAGTGGATATCCAGCCCATTTTACCAGATATTCGTTCTTGCTGCACCGTAGTCGGTGGCCCATTATAGACTCGATTTCAAATTCTTCTTCTCCTTCGATATGATCTGGAGGCAGTGTTGAATAACTATCCTCATGTGTGCTGGTCTGCTGGTATGGCATAAGAAGTGCAGCATGGAACATGGATGGATCTTCCATGTTGCAGGAAGGTCTAACTTGAATGAGAGAGGTCCCAGAACCTCCTTGATCCTAAATGGTCCTTCTCGCTTCAGCGCTAGCTTGTTCGATTGCTAAGGTCTTTTCAAATTGGTGGCTTCCAGCCAAACCTTGTCTCCTTTCTTGAACGTCGGATATCCTTCTTTGATCCTGGTGGATACACGTGCTTTTGCCTTGATGATTCCTTCTGTGGCCTCCTTGCAGACCATACTAAGAAGTTTGAGTCTTGCATCTACGTCGGGGATCTCGTCCTGAGGGAACAGTTCTGGCATTCCTCAGGGTTCGTAGCCATACCATATATATTTCAAATGGCAACTTCTTCATCACTGAATGAGTATGGAGATTGTGTGCAAACTCTGCTTCAGATCAATATGGTTGCTCTGCACAGTACATTCAGAGATAGGTTTCCAATTCTTGATTCATTCGTTCTATTTCACCATCCGTCTGTGGATGGCAGGCTGTGCTCATGGCCGACTTGATCTTCCGGGCAGTGCACAGTGCTTGAAAGACTTTGGATGTGAATTGTGTTCCATGATCAGAGATGATCTTGTCGGGTAGCCTGAAGCGTTTCCAAACTTGTCGTCTGAATAACTCAGCGATTTCTGAAGCAGTGATCGTCTTCTTGCAGGGACATAGAATTACCCCCTTACTAAGCCCATGGTTTACCATGACCATTATTGAATTGAAGCCTTCGCTTTTCAGTAGATCAGTAATAAAATCCACGCTAACTTGCTTGAAGGGTAGTGCATTGGGCAAAGGGCCTATGGGCTGTAGTGGAACTTTGACCTTGTTTCGAACAGCTTTGGACTGCTGACATGTGGCACATCCATTGATGTAGCTTTGGATGAAGCGATACATTTATGGCCACCAGAAGTCTTTGTGCACTAATTGGTGCATAACCCAGATTCCTGGATGACCATGTGGAGTAGCCTCATGGTATCGTCAAACAATTTCCTTCTTCAAGGCTGTATTATTTGGGATGTATACGCATCCATGGATGGTGATTAGACCATTGTCAGCATCCTTGATGTCATCCTTTGTCATTCCTCGTGGGACTGGAAGTTCTTTCATTAGGCCATCCTGGTACGCAAGTACCGATGGATCTTTTGTTAATGCTTGTCAGATTTGTTCTGCCATATCTGTATCGATTCTGGTAGCAGAATTGCAGGTGACTTGTTGTCCTGTCGATTGTCTAATTCTGACAACCATGAAAGTGCATCTGCTTGCACCATTTGTCGTCCTGGAGTATGGACACTCTTGTAATTGAACATAGACAAGAAGAGTTGCCACCTTCGCTGTCTTGGGTTCAAATCCTGTGGTTGCCTAAAATACGTCAGATTTTTGTGATCTGTGCATATGAGGAATGGCTCCTTTGTGCCGTCGAGATAGTGTCTCCATTCTTTAAGTGCGCGGATGATTCCTAGGAGCTCCTTATCATAGATTTGATAATTTTGTTCCAGATCGGAGAGCGACTTGGAATAATATGCGCAGGCATGGAGATCACCATTATCATCATTCTGCATTAGGACTGCTTCTGTAGCAAAGTCTGATGCATCAGTTTCGATGACAAAAGGCTTGTCTTTGTCTGGCATAACCAGTATTGGTGCTTTGCTGAACTCATTTTTGAGATAGTTGAAAGTGGCTTGTTCTTTGCTTGTCCAATGGAACACATTCCCACCCTTAGTCTTGGTAAGGTCAATTAAGGGTCTTGCAATTTCAGAATAGTTCTGAATGAACTTTCGATAGACGTTGGCGAATCCTAGAAATGCGCATACTCCTTTGACGCCAGTTGGGGCTTCCCATTTGATGATTCCATTGACTTTTGCTGGATCCATTTGAAGTCGTCCTGGAAGGAGAACTAGTCCTAGGAAGTCAGTGCATGTAGTCTTGAACACACATTTCTCCAGCTTGAGATAGAGGTCATTATCGACCATCTTTTTGATGACTCGTTCCAGCTTCTTTTCCAACTCCTTTTCGCTTTCAGCAAGGATGAGGATATCATCCAGATAACATAATAGCCATCTTTCAGTGATTTCTTCTGCGAATATTTCATTCATCATTCACTGAAAGATTGCCGGTGCATTGCACATTCCGAAGAACATGACTGTGGGTTCGAATAATCCACGCTTGGTGATGAAGGCAGCCTTCCACTCATCTCCCTGATGAATTCGGACATTGGTGTATGCTCCGCGAATGTCAAGCTTCATGAAATACTTGGCATGACGGAGTCGATCCATTAGGTCCGATATAAGTGGGAGTGGATAGGCATCCGTAATCGTTCCTTCATTCGCATAGCGGTAGTTCTGGCATGGACGTAGCCCACCGTCTTTCTTTTCTACAAAGAAGAAAGTTGATGCCATTGTGGATTGTGAAGGACAAATATATCCTTTTGCAAGGTTTTCGTCGATAAAGGCATTCATAGCTTCTTCTTCTGGCTTTGATAGGTTATAGACCTTTCCTCATTTAGGAACAAAGTCCAGCTTGAAGTCTATGTTGTGATCATACGATCTATGCGGTGGTAACCATTCCCATGCCTTTTCTTCGAAGATCCATTTGTACTTGAAAAGATATGATGGTATCGTTACATTCTTCTTGGAGTTCTTCTTCTCCTCGAGTGCTTTCTTTTGTGTGAGTTCCTGCACCTTGTTTGATGCCTTCCAGAAGGTATCACCATCTTTCTGCATACGGTGAGGGTCCTTTTTGGAAGTTGTCGTTGGACATTGATTCGCTTCATGTCCCGACTTTCTGCACTGGTAACATAGTCATTTCTTGACTGATGTTTGATTCATTCATTGCAGTGCAAGATATTGCATCTTCCTTTCTCCAGCAGAGCGATGTTCTTTTTCTTTGAGCATAACTTCTTGAAGTAAGCCAGTATCAGGTTGATAGGTGAAAATAGCTTCTTTTTCTCCTATTTCCTGATCCTCCAAGTACAGTGCTCCTTTTATGTATGCAAGCAAGAGGTCTGAATCAACAGTTCCTGCTTCGTCTGGTGCTGGGTCGACATTAGACCAGTCGATCCTTTTCAAGATTCGCTTGGCTTTGTCTTTTTCCTTCTTGGTGATTGGAAGACGAATGGTGTTTCTGTCCTTGAAAGGCCATGGTTCCTCATCCAGTACATCTTCTACATATTGATGGACCTTGACTTCACCTGTTTGCCAATTGATAATTGGGTTGTGATCATGGAGCCACGTATTGCCAATGATCACATCTTCTTTTCCTAAGTCGATGACTAGGAAGTCATCATTCCATTCGTACATTCCTGCATGAACAGTTCCTTTGAACTGTTGGTTTGTAGAGTTGATGGGACTTCCATCGACACTGCAAATCTTGACTTCCTTCTGTGATTTGAGAAGGTGGAGTCCTACTTTCTTCACAAACGATTCATTGATGAATATTCCTTTTGCTCCAGAATTGACTAAGGCTCTTGCTGGAATACTTCGGATTCTTGTGCCATTGTAATCTTGAAAGATGATATTGAGGTATATTTCGCTTCCTCGTTTGATATCGCCTCATATGATTACTTCCTCTGGGACCATTTCTTTGTTTGGATGCCACGAGATCCCAACGCGCATCCAATTCCAAAACTCTCCGGATCATCTTTTTCCATGGGTGGTGGATATCGGCGTGCATATTCATATCTGTCTGTATTGTCTCCAAATTCCAGAAGATCATCGAGATGGGGCATCGTCATGTTGCATTTCTTAATACAGTCTCCTCGCATTTTAAGTGCATCTTCCCGTCGTATCCTGGCAAGTTCTTCTTTGGGGGATGAATCTTTGAACCACATATGACTCTTCTTCCAAGTCACTAGATTTGTTCTTGGTTCGCCTGACTTTGCGAACTGTTTTGGGTTTGACAGGGCGAGTTCTTCATACCCTGTGAACAACTGTTTCTTGTTTGGATACTTCTTCAGAGTCTGATGATTCAGACTCTGATTCTTCCTGTTCTGACTCCTCTGAGCTATCCTCTGAGTTACTTTCTTTAACCCTTTTTACTTGTCGGTGTTTCTTCTCTGTTCCCTTGGAGTAAGATTTAGTCAGCTTGGAAGTCTTTCGTCATCTGCCAGGTCCGGAGTATTTCTTCGTCCTGGAATTGGACGTCTTGGTCTTGGCATATGAAGTTGTCTTTCCTGAACGATCTGGTGCCGGATCATATTCTGGACTTGTGCATTGTGCTGCGATGTGTCCTGATCTTCTGCAGTTGTAGCAGAGTCCATCCACAGAACGTTTCTGATGGGTTTCTTGGGAGATCCAGTCAACGTCCATGTCATCAGGGTCCTTCTCCGCCCTTCTTTTGCTTCCTGAAGAGCCTGAAATGAACTTAAAGATATTTGTCTTCCTGCTATGAATGTCTTGTAGGTCTGTGACCTTTCTTGCGGCCTTGCACGCTGTTGCATAGGTCGTTGGTGGACTTTCGATGATGAAGACTTTTTCTGCAAGTTTCTCATTAAGGCCTCACTTGAAGTGGATGAGCTTGGCGTATTCGTCATCGATTTTGGCATATGGGTAGAGGATATCGAGATTTCCGATATACTCGTCGACGGTTTGCTTGTCCTGCCTGTACTTTCCTTCGAGAAGTACTTGCCAGGCTTGGTCCTTGGTTGTGACACCTCCATACTTTTCGATAAGTGTCATCTTGAAGTCTTGGTACATTCCAAGATTGCTGTGTTTTGCCATTTGGTTGGCTTCCCATAACTTGGCCCACTTTCCCACTGTGGATGAGGAGTCGATTTGGGAGAGGACGAAGGCAATTTTGCTGAAGTCATCATTGTAGACTCCCGCATTTGCCTGTAGGTATCATTCCACATTTCGGAGGAACGATGCATACTCTCGCTTGTCTCCCTTAAACTCCTTGATTTTTCCCATCTTCTTTTTCCGTGCCACTGGCTGCTTGGGTATTGCTCCCTGATATTGTGCGTAGAGTCCCAATGCTTGTTGGTACTCATTCCAGATGATGTCAGTGCAGGTTCCGAGATGGACGGGTGGTCCGAGAGCCGGGTCATATCGTGCATGTGTAGCCATACTTCCTGAGAACTGAAAGCTACCGGTTGGTCTTGATCCAGTTGAAACTGAACGTGTGATTCCAGGTGCATTGGGTAGGTGGGGTGGCTGGTCCCTTCTGAGGTGTGTGATTTCTGGAGAACCTGGTCTAGCAGTACTATCCGAGATAGATCTCTCGAGCGGAACTGCTCTTGTTCCAAGGAGATTAACTGGCTGTAATCCACTGGTTTCCTGTGAACACCCTTTCTGTCGTTCAACTTGGATTGCTTCTCCTTGTGGAAGTTCTGTTGCTTTGTCGAAGCCTCATAGAGATTCTTCATCAAAGTTTTCCCTTCCACGAAAAACTCGTCTTATTTCTTCAATCTTACCCTCGAGCTGCTCTAGCCTCGGACGATCTGTTGGTTCGTAGGCTCATCCTAGCCTGAATTGAAGTCGAAGTTGAACCGCTTCTGTCAACTTTCTTTTGTAGAGGTCTGTTAACTCCTCTGTGGTGGTGTCACTGATCGTAAATTGTGGTACTTCTTCGTCAGAAGTTACCGGTCGTGTTTCTGGTGTATCTTCCTCAGATACTTGGTCGGGTTCCTGTGCAGCCCACGTTTTGAATCTTGTCTTGACCTAAGATTCCTCAATTGCCTTTCCTGGGAAGGGCTTTTAGCATGTCTTCACCATGTGCCTCAGATGAGGGCTTCTCTTCTGGATTACCACACGAGTAATCGCTAGTGCTTGAGTTCGTTCCTGTAACAAAAACTCCGCACTCCTGCCTTTTGATCTTTGGTGGCCCTTAACCAATCATGTACACTTTTTGATTTGCCTGGTAGCGTCAACCAGTCAGAGTCCTAGTCTTCTTTTCTAGACCTCGGATATCCTGTGCTCACTTTTTAAAGTGCCCAGCTAGTCACTTCGAACTCCTGCCTACTCCCGTTTGAGCGCTCAGTCATTCTGGCTTTTGATTTCCTCTGCTTGGTGTCCTATAACCAATCATCCTTCCTATCTGCATTTTCTCGATTGAAAACTGGCCTCGGCAAAGTCTGGGTGCATTCTTTCAGTGGACCTTTACCAGCATCTTCTGTATACCCAGTGCCTCCAGTGAGGATGGGGCTCAAGTCGACACTGCCTCTTGCAGGTACCTTGCCATAACAAGTACCCAGGTTCTGCTTCTATAAGATGCTCCTGTCTGGTAAAGTACTGTCACAACAGCTACTTCAGAGTGGTTCTCCCTGTTTTTCCCTCCGTGGGTGAAGAACTGTCACAACAGCTACTTCAGAGTGGTTCTCCCTGTTTTTCCAAGTGGTGTATAGGCCACAGCATGCACTGAGTTCCCTAGAATTGGATAGCCCTGTTTGAGGACTTGATGGATTTGGTTTTCTGTAGCATCCAAGTAGACACCACTTCTCATAAGTGGTTCTAAACCTCAACAGGTTGATCTGTAGAAAAACCTCTTTCAAATGTTATGAAGCATTCCCTGCTAGAACGTTCAGAACCACGTGTGCTTTCTCACACATACTAGTCCACAACGTTGACAGAGGCTTAGATATAGAATATACCTAATGCCTCCAATAGTCAGGCAGACTATTAGCAGGGTTTATAGTGTTGTCAATGTCTAGTAGATGATGTAGCCGTGAGGTCCTCACTCTACCCTTGCTAGGCCTTGGCCACTACAGTTACTGCACATTCACCCGCAGGTTACTAGGTTCACTGTTCTGACTCTAGCAAGTGTACGAGCTTACTACCTCTTGAGAGCGAGTACGATTGCATGAGGGTTCTAGAACTGAGAACGTTCAGAGTGGAAGAGGTTATCTTCCAGCTGTTGCTCTGCCCCTTTATATAGTCGCAGACCTATAGTCTGGGGTACTAGTACAAGGGGTATCCTACAGCTATTCATAGAGTAAATGAAATAGACCGAGACAAATACTAACCGCTGCGAGCCAGGTAATTGGTGAGCTATTTGTTAGTATAATATGAAATAGAAACCTGAAACACGAAGGTCTTGTTTGCATGACCTGAGTGAGTAAATCATGAAAACGAAAAACTGCTAACCCTAGAATATGTCCACAAGACCTATGAACCATAAATAGTAAGTGTCACGTGCAACGTAAACTGTCACATGACCATGAAGTGCTGAAACTGTAACACCCACATGCAGCCAAAGCACCAATCAGGGTTGTTACATTTGGTGGAAAACACTTCGAACTATCCTCATACGAAGTTGCACCAATATCCACACACAGATTCAACATGTCTGACCACCCAGACGAGTTCTTCCTATATCATAAAATGACAGATAACGTCAAATCACCGAAAAAATCCTCAAATGAAGCAGCAGGATGGGATTTTTATGCAGCAGAAACGCATGAAGGCCCTCCGCATTCACGAGCTGTGGTAGGAATGGGAGTCACAATTGACCCTCCTAAACATACCTATACACGAATAGCTCCACACAGCGGACTGGCTGCATGAGGAATTGACGTGGGCACAGGAGTCGTTGACCCTGATTACACTGGAGAACTCAAGGTCGTACTGGTTAACACAATGGATTTCGTATTTTCGGTCAAGCCAGGAGACAGGATAGCCTAAATAATCTTCGAGTATTATGCCGAAGGGCTTCCCTCCTGGAGCTACCAACCGTTGCGAGCAACAAAAAGAGAAAATAAAGGTTTTGGCTCCTCAGGACAATGAGCCTTGAGAGGGGGGTGGTATCACAGATTTTCACCACAAAGTCTGCACGTGACTTTTCTCATGCCACAGATCATGTGCTTCACCAATATCTCATGCCACTCAGCCACAGACGTGACGTGTAGAGATCAGGTGATAGTCCACATCACATATTATGGTCCAGACCAGCGGATGATATGGTCAGACCTGTCTATTCCAGGATACAATAGAGGCACCCATTTGGAAATAAAGGGAACAAGGACTATTGTTCGGGATTGTCTAGGTAATCAGCTCAAGGTATAGCCGTTACCATGATAGGATGAATTGTCTCACCATTGCTACGGGAGAACATTGATCTTCTCACCTATTGTTCTACTTACGGATAGATCTTCCCACTTATTGTTTCATGTATAGCTTAGTCGCCTAGATACGTAGATAGCCAATCATCTATTTTGTAGTAGTGATATGATGAAGGTTATGTAATCAGGCTCCTGTACACGTATATAAGGCCAGCATGTAGAGGATGAAACTTCAGATTGTTTCTCCTCATCTACCACTGTAGCACCTACTAAGCTCACAAGCTCCTGCATATATCTTTCCACCCTTCCATACGCTTGCTTCACCAACAAGTGAGTGTTCAGCTCTCAAGCCACTATTGGGATCAGGGGATCAGGGCAGCACGTTCCATGTGACTGATCCTTTTTTAGTCTCGTTGATCTCTTGTCCAGCGGTGCTGTGACACAACCGGTTCATATGGTGTATAATGCACTTCCTCCACTGCGAGATGATATGGACGATGTCGTCGCGATCCTCTTCACTGGGTCTTGTAAACCTGTCGAGGCTGATTTTAAATGCATGCCTCTGATGGTGCGTCACAGTTCAGTTCTCTCGGTGCTTCAGTGGCTGAAACTGAACCACAGCGATTATGCGGACATAGAGATTTTGATGTTCAACTTACAGCAATACGCTGAGAATGAGCCCCCCATCACAGTTTTTCATCGGCCTTCAGATGGTATGACTCCATCAGAAGCTATGTCTGTTCATGAAATTGATGATGAGCGAGGTTCATCCTCAGGTCCATGTCCATTCGTTATGCATGATTTGTCTTCAGCTGACATATCAACAATGTCTTATCAAATGTGAATTGCCACAGCATTGCGCTACTTCTCAAATGGAGGAGGCGTGCTCATGGTTGGTCACTCAGCAGATCCTGAAAGTATATATATCACAACCCGAGGTTGTTCCCAAGTATGTTTTCGTGGCTTTTTTCTTATGGTCTTGATGCATTCAAAAACATTTTGCAGAGGTCCCGCATCGATGGCAAGGCTCACGTCCACCATTTATTATCTTATGCTGATAGGCAGTTTCAGACAGATTACTTTTTTCCTTTTGTTGTGTTCAATCACGAGCAGATCCGGTGCTCTTCTCGTGGTGGCTACCTTCTAACAGAATATATCAATTTCTCTTCCATTGCAGAGTCGATTCTATCATTGAACTGAGATGCATTGGACAGTCTGATCACATGTTCTGCAGATGGTAAATATGTAATGCCCGAATCTGACGATGAGAAGAAATGCTTCGATTTGTTGCACATACTAGATTGTGTCACACAGCACGTAGATGGGTCCTCTGCTAAACGTAAACTTCTTCAATCGGAGCTGCGTTCATTGATTATTGCATGTAATGTGCCTTTTTTTATACATTTATTTGTATACTGTGCTATGTGCGGTTGAGTGAGGTAAATACAAAAGAGGACTACGTGAGGAAGTGTCGACACATAGACTAAGAGTGAACTGAGTGAGGCATGCAGTGGGTGCTGCAAGAAAAACCTGATCACCCAGAATCAGGGGGCATGAGGGCTGCAGCAGAGAAAGCACAGGTAGCGGAGATAAATGAAATGAAGTGATGGAGACTGGTTGGGTGATTTCACAGCTGATGCAGGTCCAGGAGAGTGGGCATGGGGTTGTGGAAGAGCAGGTGCCAGACGTGCCCATGTCACGGGCAACGCAACATGGTATGAGTGCGTGTACTGGGGGTTAATTAAATCACATATGCAGGGTGCATCATGATAATCAGGCTCCTCCACAGCCTTTCTTTGAGCATTAAGGGAGCCTTCATACTGAGGGTGGGATTTTGTGCCACATTTCGATCACTACCATGTGTTCGATCATGATGCGATCACACAGTTTTGAAACTCCACAATCTTAATTGCCCCCAATGCCCTACGACAGCTGCAAGAAAATATCTGTAAACAACGGAGTGATCGCATCATATTTCTCCATATAGTAGTGGTGCTTGCCGGAGATTGTAGAATTAGATTAGGGTTAAGGTGGCAAATATGTTTCATTCAGGTGCTGAAGTGCCTTATT